TGTCCACCTGGAATGTCCACTAATCCAACAGAACAGAGTTCTTTCAGATTTTAAAAGGCTATAGGCTAGTTATGTCTCATTACTAAATTTCGTAGCCACTCACATACACTGGGTTACATCCTCAAACCCTGGCTAGGCCTGCAGACACAGAATGAGGTAAATCCTGAGCTTTCAGGGGTCTCCTGGGATAGTGGAGAATGAATGAATGACAATAACATGAGTTTAAGAGAAATGGAAAAAGGCATATAAGAAGGTCATCCAAATGTGAGGATCCAAAGGCTATTCCCACATGGTGACAATTGGGCTTCAAGGAATGAAGAGCAGTTGCAGAGGTGGATGTTTGGTGAGGCAGAGAACATTCCAGATAGGAACAAATTACACCGAGTTTCAAGAGTACTTCTGAAGGACACAGAGTGGGAGGCACTGAGGATTGGTCTCGGTTCTAAAGGCAAGGTTGAACCAGGGAGGGAAGCAGGACTGAGGACAGAGAGGACTGCAAGGAAGATGACAAGTGATACCAGTTCAGGGCAGAGAGGGGAGCAACAGCTGTGAGGATGGATAAAGGGTCTGAGAGACGTTTGTCAGTAAGTTGAATCAGACTTGATCAGACGTCAGCTGGTCAGAGAAGTGTCCCCTGGGCTAGTGACCAGAGAAGCAGGAAAAGGGAATGCCTGGTGTGGGCCAAGTAGGGAGAAGGAAGCTTCAGTTTGGATAAGAAGAACCTGAACTTCCTGTTGGATATGCAGGGAGAAAGATGGAAATGTCCCTGTGGCAGTTAGATATTTACATCTGGAACACATCCAGCTAAACAAAGTAACCCGTGTACTACAGGAACAATTTCAAAGACATCATCCTCATTTACATTAAAAATTTAGGACAGAGGCCAGTCTTCAGTGCCTCCCACTCTGTGTCCTTCAGAAGTAGTCTTGAAACACGGTGTAATTTGTTCCTATCTGGAATGTTCTCTTCCACACCAAACATCCACCTCTTCATTCCTTGAAGCCCAGTTGTCACTGTTTTAATTTTCTAACACCTCTAATAATTTTTGGAGTTATTTAAACAAAGAAGTCTACCAAGTCCAGGAACTCAAAATTTCTTCTGGTGACTAAAAATTCATGAACACCATTCATGTTACAATTATGTGGGCTGGTTCTGAACAATTTTTGAGGACTATTTTATCCATGAAAAAAAGAAAACAAGTCTGTTGACCTGAATGTCACATTACCTGAGGTTGAACAAATTCTTTGTCATGTGTGTAAAAGTGATTTAAAGATAAGAAAGTAACGGGAGAGGGATGGGAATGGGAAATTCAATAGAATGAATTGGATATAACTTTCCTATGTTCATACATGAAAACACAACCAGTTTAACTCCAAATCATGTATAACCACTCAAGCGGGAAGTAATACTCCATGTATGCGTATGTCAAAATACATCCACCTGTCATGCATAACTAAAAAGAAAAATAACAAAAAAGATAAGAAAGCAAAGCATAGCAATAATTATGAACTATATGTCTTTATAATGTAAAATCATGGAGTGCAAGTATTGAGATCTGTCTTAGGACTTGTTTTTTGGATTGGGGATTTAATGCAGGTGCACTTTACCACTAAGCTATATCCCTAGTCCTTTTTATTTTGAAGATAGGGTCTCAGTTAAGTTGCTAAGGCAGGCTTCAAACTTATGATCCTCCTATTTCAGCCTCTGGAGCTGCTGGAATTACAGACAAGTACAAGCACTCCCAGCTCTTTTTTCATTTTCCACATGATTCAGAAGATGAAATGCTCAGCAAAATCTTCAGGCTCACAGATAACTGAAAATTCCTTGGGTAGAAAAATGTCAAATTGATGGGTATAAAAATTGATAGTGGGGCTGGGGTTGTGGCTCAATGGTAGAGCGCTTGCCTGGGGCGGGTGAGGCACTGGGTTCGATCCTCAGCACCACATAAAAATAAATAAAAATAAAGGCATTGTGTCCACTTACAACTAAAAAAAAAAAGAAAAAAATGATGATAAGGTAGGTGGTAACCTTTACTATGTGCACTATAAAGTAACATATTCAGGAGAAATAAGCTATAATTATAAGCTAGCTATAATATAACAATATCTAACTCAAAATCAGAGAAAGTCATCAAAGAGTAAGCTGTCAGGAAAGACCTCAAAGAGGAGGCTTCATGTGTGAACACACCCATGGGGATTTGTTAGGGATCTGAAGAGGGCTAGGAATAGTGTGTATCCTCTTTATTCCTCCTGTTGAAAAAATTCTAAAGGGCTCTATTATTGAGGCAGCATGATATTGTGCAGTCCCCCCTCCAACTACCCATTCTCAACTAACGTACAAAAGGTGCCCTGTCTTCTACATTACTCAGGACAGATGTCTGTGTAAGCAGAGTCAGACACGGGTGAGGGAGAGGAGTAAAGGGGTTACCTAGAAAATGACCTACTGCAATATCTCTCTTCTGTTTCCTACTGTGTCCCCTAACTGGTTTTTATTTTCCATTTTTGAGAAAGTTTTCCAAAAGTGGCAATTAAAAAATTTCTTTTTTTACCAGGGCACACTATAAGACAGTATTTTACGCTAGAATTCTATTTATTTTTTGAAATTTATTTACTTTTTGAGACAGGGTCTTGCTGTGTTGCCCAGGCTGGCCTTGAATTCAGGATCTTTTTTGATCTTATCCTCCTGAGTTTATAGGCGTATGCCATTGTGCCTGCTGCTGCTGCTTCTTCCTTTTTTTTTTTTTTTGGTTTGGTGGTGCTGGGGATGGAAAGCACATACTTCATGCATTGGGCTACACCAGCCCTGGTTTAGAATTTTAGAAACTGAATGCTCTTCTGTGGCTTATTAGCTGTGACCTATGGAAAATTACTTAACCCCTTATGCCTGCTTCCACAATAAAAAAGAAAAGGAGATAAGAATACTACTTGTCTTTCAACATTGATGTGAAGAGTAGGAATAAATATGCAAACTCCTCACAACATTCCTGGAGACAAAGTTATTTCTGAATATGTGTAGTTCATTATCATTATCATCTATTATTGTGAAAAGTCCTTGAATATATTCTTATAATATTCATATGACACAAATCACTTACTTTAATGAGACCATCTCCTTGGGCAAAGCATGGATCCTGCACAAAATCAAGCACCTGAAGTGTCAGCTGATGCCATAACCTGGAAAACACAAGGCCCTTCAGATAATCAACCAAGGTTGATGAGACCTCTGGAACCTCAGTGTTCCAGCAGATAACAAAGCTCACCAGTCCTGACTGCACAGAAGAACGCTAGTACAGATGGTAATAGACCTCAGTTCTTTTCACTCAATGTTTATGCCACATAGAGCTGACTTACTCTAAAACACAGGTTTCCCAGCTATGAAACAGAGAATTTCTGTTTAGACTACTTCAAAAAAATCAGGAGGTTCAACTGGAAACAAGAGTTTTGGAATCAGACAGCTAAACTGAAATCTAGTCTCTCTTATTCATTAGGTGGGTATCTCAAAGAAGTTGAGGAAACCAAGTTTCAATTTCCTCATTCATGAATGGGACATGAAGGAAGAAATAAGCTAATAATATACTTGCAGGACATTGACACATTTCTTAAAAAAAAAAAAAAAAGGCCAATATTTAACAGTACAGATAAAATGCTTTAAAAAATAAAAAGTACTTTGGGCTGGGGTTGTGGCTCAGTGGTAAAGCACTTGCTCAGCATGTGTAAGGCAGTGGGTTTGATTCTCAGCACCACATATAAATAAATGAATAAAATAAAGGTTCAACAACTAAAAAATATAAATATATATAAATACAAATACTACCCACAAAGCAATTTTTTGCCAAATACTAATACTTTTCTCCAAAAAACTGCTATTAGCAGGCTACTGAACAGCATCAAAACATGCTGTGCATGGGCTGGGATGTGGCTCAGTGGCAGAGCCCTTGCCTGGCATGTGTGAAACCCTAAGTTCAATGCCCAACACCATTAATAACAAACAAGACATGCTGTGAAAGATTCTATGCTAAATATCCATCAGGAAGGTTCCTACAGCAGATGTGTTTCCCCTGAGCAAGGTCTAGGCCAAAACTAACGATTTACTCTACTCATCTAAATAGAGGTTGGTGCTTAGCAACAGAAAATTGTTCTGAAGCTCACCCTGTTTCTGAAGGAATTCAAACTCTGAGATCTCTGGAGGCACAAAGCCCAGTGTGAAATATTATAGAAAGTAGAAACAATGGGAGAGCGGCAGTGGTTGCACCCTGTGTGATCAGCTGTAGAATCAAAGGAAAACCTCGGCTCACTGGTTTCAGACCATAAGAAAACTAACTGTAGATTCACTCACACTAGGGCTTGGCCAAATGCAAGTCTCCAAGAGCTGTTTCCCCACAAGGGTGGCACTCTGGCTCTGAAAGTGTGCTTGTGACTGAATCAAGAGCAAAAGCACAGGCCAGCACCGAACCCCTGTCGTGACACCAGAAGAAGGGAGAGTTCAGAAGCCCCAGTCACAGCGCCGAGGGCAGGAAAGCAGTGAACCCTAGATCCCAGACCCCTACAGCTCTGGCCCTTAGTCCTGGTGGGCTGTCGTCCCTCTTCGTCCCAGGCCGCCACCCTCAGGACTGCACCGACCTTCCCTGGCACAGCCCGTCCACTCTCCCCACACGTCCCGCTTCCTCGGGCCTCCCCGCCTCGGGTCGCAGCGCCCACAGCCTGTCTCGGACAGGCCCTGGCCCCTCGTTTCGGTGCTCACTTCTTCGTGTAGAGCTCCTCCAGACGGTGCCACACGGCTGCCTGGCCGGGCCCGGAGCTCTGGCTCTGCTGTAAGAAGCCCGGTACATCCTTCATGATGGCAGGAAGAAGCCGGGACAGGGAGAGCGCCGAGGTGTCAGGGCCGCGGGGATGGCGGCCGGAAGTGCTCACTCACTTCCGGCCCGGGTGGCGCGGGGCGTGCCGGGAGCGTCGCTGCTGGCTCCAGCGGCGCGCTGTCGCCAGGGTAACCACGCTCTGACGCGTTTGGGGCAAAATTCTCTCCGGGGTCTGTCCCGGCTTCCGGCACCAGGCCTTGCTCTTGAGACATTAAAGAGAACGGGCGCCAGCGGCCAACCGGCCCCGACTGGCCGTGCGGATGGTACTGGCACCTTCCTGGGAGTGTCTGGCGGGGACAAGGATGAGTTATCATCTCCGTGGCGGCTGAATGTCTTGTCGCGGCTCGGGCCAGAGGCCAGAGCCCAGCAGACCCGGGAAACAACCCCACCCTCCGTCCACCTCCACCCTAGCGCGCAGGGGCAGGGCGGGCATGAATCTTGGAGTGGAGGAGGAGCGGGAGCTCAGGAGGAGGGTGCTCTAGGCGGGGAACGAGCTCACGGGGATGGGGCTGGGGCGGGGGATGAGCTCACACGGGGTTGTCTCTTTGGGTGGGGCAGGAGCTCGCAGGGACAGGGAAGCGCGTCACGGGGATGGGACGTGGGCCATGACAAGAACTCGCAGGGGTCGTGTGCGCGGTGGGGCTCGGCACGGGGCGGGACTCGAGCTCGCGGGGCCGGAGCTCACCGGGATGGCGCTCGGGGCGGGGCGGGGCGCGGGCACGTGACCTGCGGACGCCTGCGGAAGGAACATCATGGCGCTGTGGGGCCGACCGTGGCTGGCCTCTCTCAGACTGTGGGGCCCGGGAGGTGGGCGGCCTGGCCCCGCGCGGGCCCCACAGTCCCGCGCCTGGCGGCCGGTGTGTGCCGGGGCGGATAGCGTCTGTGCTCGCGGCCTGCGGGAGCCAGGCAGGTGCGCCTCCGGGGCCCGGGTCGCGCGCAGGGCCTCTTCGGTTCTTGACCGCGTCTAGTGGTTCCGTCCGCGGCAGTTCGGCCCTTATACTGGTCTGTGGAAGTCCTTCACGTGGATATTTCATAACTGCTTTGATCATTCACGTGTTGAAACAGTGTCTCATCTGTAGCTTTTACGAATGACGCTGTGCCGAATTACTTGGCTGGTACCTTGTTTTTTGGATAAATTCCTAGTATTGGGACTTTAGGTCTAAAAGTATGTGCATGTAACGTTTTAATGGCCTTCTTTGCGTAAGGTCGTGCAGTTAGAACTGCCGTGTAGGTGACTACACCCAGTAACTGCCCTTTTTGGAATGCCACTCAATCCATCCCAGGGCCCTGCACATGCTAGGCAGGCACTCTGATCCTTACATGGGGAATTGAGCTTACATATGGAGAAATCTTTAGGTCCGTAGTTGTTAGGATATAAACTTAGGTGCTTTGTAATGGGGGGATATTCAAGTAAATAATGGTAAATTCATGTGATACATATTGAAAGGTTAATAAAGAGATTTTCATCAAGGATAACGTTACTGAGCTCTTGTTCTGTACAGGCCCTATTCTGGTGCTGGGGATAGAGCAGGTACCAGGACAGACACTTGCTTCTGTAGAGCCAGTTCTTATTACAGAGATTATCTGCAAGACTGGCTGCCATTAAACCAACCTTTGCCACCATGGGTTTTAACACAGAAGCTGTAGGGCTTCCTATGAGAAGCAGACTATTTGCCCAGACTTGCAGTTGGGAATTTCTTTTGCCACTAGATTTTAGATTCTTGGTGAGTTGTCCAGAAGGCTCTAGAAGCCAAGACTGTTGTCTCAGGAGGCCTCCAGGGTTTCTGCAGCTGCAGTGCCTCTTGCCCTGACCTTCAGGTGCTGCTACAGGCTCTGTGTCATTTGTATTGCTTTGTTTTCTTGTCTGCTCAGATGTAGAGTCATTTACAAAGTCCTGTGGCCTCATTGAAGCCTGTGACTTGTTTTTCTGTGTGTTTTGTGCCCTTTACTATGAAAGACCATTCCATACTCCCAATCTTGGCTCTTGGCTTCTGGAGGTGACTTAAGAACTTTCTAGAGCTTTGCAATGAGAACCCTGAGCTGCAGTATACCTTCTGCCTTGCCTGATTGTGTAATTTTAGCTGCTAATCTGAGCTGCCCCCATCTGCAGACATTAAAGATGAACTCTGTGCAGCACTCTGAACCCCTGTCAGGGCATGGATGTTTCTTTCTGGAATAGTCTTTAGAGAGACCAGCTTTTATCCCAATAATATTTTGATGCAAAACCTGAGAATTACTTTAAACTCACTGTATTTTCATCACTTTCCATGTACCTTAAGGTGTGTAGCTCTGTGGAACATGTGCCCCAGAGCCTTCACAAAGAATACTTTTGGCCCTGGCTTGAGTTTCTATGAGGACTTCTGTTCTTAGCACTGCTTTGATAGCCGCACTCACAAATGATGCTTTCCTGATTACACAGTGCCTATTAACTGAAAGTTTTTGCTGCCAAATAGTCTTGATTTCTGATTTGTGACTGCTTTCTGTTTTAGCCAGTGGTCATCCATGGTGAGAAAGTTGGTTGTTTTGGGGAGACTGAAGTGATGTGCATGACCTTTTTGACGGTGGGAAGGGTAGAGTGTGCTCGTTCTTGCTAGCGTGAAGCTGGTTGTCTTTCTATTCTGCATTTGCTCTCAGTATTACAAGTGGACGAAGGGCCATCTCACTGTCTGTGGGTGCTTCAGGCATCTTTGGAAGTGGAGGCAACAGTGAGAAAGAGAAACTGTCCCTGCAGGACATCGCTGAGCTGATCCGGGTGCGAGCGTGTCAGAAGGTGGTGGTCATGGTGGGGGCTGGCATCAGCACACCCAGCGGCATTCCAGATTTCAGGTACCACGGTAACCCGGTAACCCTTGCCGAGGCTTCCCCACCCTGTCCTGGTGGGCTCAGAATCTCTTCCTTCTCACTCTGCAGATCTCCAGGGAGCGGCCTCTATAGCAACCTCCAGCAGTACAACATCCCATACCCCGAAGCCATTTTTGAACTGGAATTTTTTTTCCACAACCCCAAGCCCTTTTTCACTTTAGCCAAGGAGCTGTACCCTGGAAACTATAGGCCCAATGCCACTCACTACTTTCTCCGATTGCTTCATGACAAGGGACTGCTTCTGCGTCTCTACACACAGAACATCGATGGACTTGAGAGAGGTGAGCCTCTGTTTCCTCTCCACGTCACATCTGTGCCTGTTTCCAGGTGGGGCTCCGGCCATTGCCAATACCTCATTTTTGGTGCTGTTTTGAGCCAACTAGACCTCTGTTGGGACCTCCCTGTGGGCCTGTCTTCCTGCAGAGTTGTGAGTTTTGGACAGAACTTAAGTTGACATTGTTTTGCTAATCTGGTATGAATATTTCTTTCATTTTTTTCTGTTTTAAGAAATACGCGGAGCTGGGCATGGTGGTTAGGTCTGTAATCCCAGCAGTTCAGGAAACTTGAGACAGTATTGCAAATTCAAAGTCAGCTTCAGCAACTTAGTGAGGCCTTAAGCAACTTAGTGAAACTCTGTCTCAAAAAAAAAAAAAAAAAAGGGGCTTGGGGTGTGGTTCATTGGTCAGGGCCCCTGGGTTCAATCCCCAATAGGGGGTGGGGTGGGGGGGGCGGGGAGAAGAAATCTGTAGAACATACAGAAATAAAAAGTATAAGAAATCCTCTGTCCTCCCACTCAGTTTCCATATCTGACACGTGGCCCAGTCCTTGTTTGTCTGTTTCCCCACCTTCTTTCTCACCTCCAGGATGTTTTCAAGCAAGTCCATCACATTGTAAATTTTATCTAGAAACAATCTAGAAGCAAATCAATGAGTATCTCTAGAAGATACAGACTGTAAAAAATAACTGGTACTCTCTCGAACCACTAATGGCCCCTCAGTGTTGTCTGGGTCAGGACAGCAGTGATTCACAAGAGGGGACAGGTCAGGCCATGCATCTCAGGGAAGCATCTGGGGGGACCTGGGTTAGGTGTAGTGGGGGCAGCTGCAGGGCAGTCAGTGAGCCAGCAGCAAGCTGCCTGATCCCAAGAGGTGTCTCCTTGCTCAGGAGCTGTTTCATGTGAGATGAAATCTCTGGCTTGGACTCACAGAGGCAGCAGCGGCTACACTGTAGAGGCTTTGCTACCCAGGGTCAGGAGAGCTGGCCTTGTGGGAAGGTGGGAGCCGCCTGGCCATGAGTTTCAGCACTGCAGTTAGGACAGTGATGGGGATGTAGGAAGCCACCTGCAGGTGGAAGATTGAACACCTGAGAAACACTGAGGCAAGAATAAAAAGTTTTATTTAAAGGATAGAAGAGAGAGATGGGAGCTCCTCCGTAGAGAGGGTGTCCAAAGCTGGTACCCAAGGAGTGAGGGTGTCCTGCCTCTTCTAAAGATTTTAGATTTCCTTTGTTTTCATGCCCCCTTCTCCCATCTTGCTTACCTGGTCAAAAGGTGGAGTGATCCAGTAGCAGGTATCAAGCTGCCCAGGGGTACAGGCAGGAAGGGCAATATCCAGTGGGTATTTATTAACTGTGGGAGACCAACCTTACCCGTGACTGAGTCACACTCCCCAGTTGGGTGCTGAGGCGCTCAGTCGGCTGGGTGCTGAGGCGCTTAGTTGCAGAAATGTGGCAGAGCTTTCCTCACCCTTCCTGGGTGCGAGGGTCAGTGTCTCTTGCATGGGTGTGTCTTGCCACAGCCCCATGGGTGAAGCTCCACTCCGCTCACCTGTTCCTTGCCCTGAGCCTTTTCCGGCAATTAACAGCTCCTTGCTGGGAGGAACAGTTCCCTGGAGGCAGGTAACTTTGGCAACAGGTTGGAGGAGGGGAAGTACTCTGGAGGTATTAGCATTTTATTTCCTTTTGAATCAGCCACACCAAATCATTCATTGTCATTGTCTACACTGACTGGCCTTTTGCCTGGACCTTGATACCAGGAACAGAGAAATTCCTAAGGCATTACTTTTTGTCTATTTTTTCACCAAGCAAATTTCTGGAAATGTATCTATACCCTCATTTTTACTTGATGTCTCTAGAATAGGATGAGTATTGCTAGATATTAGAAACACACACGCATACACACATATATATTAGTTTGTTTTGTAGAATATCAGGGGTACTCTACCATTGAGCTACATCCTCAGTCCCTTTTCTTTTTTATTTTGGGATAAGGTCCTGCTAAATTTTGAGGGTCTTTCTAAGTTCCGAGGCTGGTTTTGAACTTGTGAAACTCCCGCCTCAACATCCTAAGTCATTGGGATCATAGGAATGCACCACTGTGCCCAGCAATATCAGACATAATTTTATCTGAATTTATATCTGATGGATTTTGTTCTGAGTTTGTTTCGTTTTGGTATTGGGGATGGAACCCATGACCTTATGCATGCTAGCCCAGTGTTTTACCACTGAGCAATACCCCAGGCCTTTGTACTGAATTTTTTTTTTTTTTGGTACCAGGGATTGAACTCAGGGTCACTTAATCACTGAACCACATCCCCAGCCCTTTTTATTGCATTTTATTTAGAGACATGGTCTCACTGAGTACTTAGGGCCTTGCTAAATTGCTGAGGCTGGCTTTGAACTCATAATCCTCCTGACTCAGCCTCCCGAGCCGCTGGGATTACAGGCGTGTGCCACTGTGCCCAGTGAAGGCTTTGTTTAAATGTGGCTTGGCTCCAGCTGGGAGCCCCTGTGCCTTACTCTGTTGGTGGAGAATCACTATTGGCAATATAGGCAGGGACACCAGGCTTTCCTGAGGGCTGAGATCCCTTCCAGGATGCCGCCACATCCAAAAGTCATGCTTGTGACTTGGTGCTCATGCCAGCCCAAGGCTGCAATGCTTGCTTTGGTTGGATTTCAGTGTCTGGCATCCCCACCGCGAAGCTAGTTGAAGCTCATGGGACCTTTGCTTCAGCCACCTGCACAGTCTGCGGAAGATCCTGCCCCGGGGAGGACTTCTGGGTGAGTTGTTCCACTGATAGTCTCTCTCTTCTGCAATTCATGGGAGTGGAGGTGGTCTGGAAAAGTGGTATAATAGCATGAAAATATTTTTTCTTTCTTTTGGTACCAGGGATTTAGCCCAAGGGTGCTTAGTGAGAGGTCTCACTAAGATGCTTAGGGACTCGCTCATTTGCTGAGGCTGGCTTTGAATTTGTGATCTTTCTGCCTCAGCCTCCCAAGTCATTGGGATTACAGGTGTGCTCCACTTCACTTGCCCTTTTCTTTACTTTTAATTTAGAAAAATAATACATGCTTATAAACAACTAAGACAGCACAGAATGAATCTCCTTTCAACTAGTTCCTACTGCCCACCTTTAACAATTTGGTGTATGTTTTAGTTAACTTTCTTGTTATTGTAACCAAAGGACTTGACAGCAACAACACAGAAGGAAAAGTTTATTTTGGCTTATGATTTTAAAGAGTGGGTCCATGGTTGGCTAACTCCATAGCTCTGGGACGAGGTGAGGCAGATCATCATGGTAGAAGAGCATGGTGGAGGAAAACAGCTCAGGACTTGACAACCAGGAAGCAGAAAGGGCAATATATAAACCCCTAAGGCATGACTGAAGTGATCTACGTCTTCCAGCCACACCCTACCTGCCTAGTTTACCACCCAGTTAATCCATATTAATGATTTAATCTGCAGATTAGCTCACACCTCTTATAATAATCTAATCATTTTACCCCTGAGCATTCTTGCATTGTCTCACACATGAGCTTTTGAGGGAAAATCATAACAGTATATAATGTCCTAGGACTTCATTTTATTTTTAAATTTTGAGATACGGTTTCACTAAGTTGCTTAGGACCTCACTAAATTGCTGGGGCTGGCTTTGAACTTGCCTTCCTCCTGCCTCAGCCTCCTGAATTGCTGGATTACAGGCGTGTACCACTGTACCTAACTGTTCTAGGGCTTTAGAGAGATGTGCATACATGAGCACACATGTTTTTTGTCAGTGTCTGCAGTTCTGCCTGCTCTTTTTGGTCTTTGTATTAACTGTAGAGTGTTAGGTTTAGCCACTCAACTATTACAGGATATCTTTTGATGTTCGTAATTTTCACTATTGAGCATGAAGCAACAGTGATACCTGTGTTAGACCTCTTAGGATTCCTTAGAGAATAGGGTAGAGTGGGGAATATGAGCACAGCAGCTCAGCGAAAGTACGAAGTGCAGGTGAACCATGCACTTGAAGAGGCAGCTGTCTGTTACTGGATCTCACCTCGGCAACAGTAAATAAGTAGAAGATAAATCCCATGCTGTGTGAACACTTTCACGTGCTGTCTTGCTCAGGTTCCTGGTTTTCACCCAGGAGTGCAACTGCTGAGTGCCATGTGAACTCTGGGTGACTGTTGGAGGAACTGCCATACTCTTCTCCACAGCACCTGTGCTTTTGTGGAATTTGTTGTTTTATTTTGGGTTGTAAGAGTTCTTTTTATGTTCTAGAAACTGGATCCTTATCAGATACATGATTTGCAAGTCTATGGTTGGTTGTCTTTTTCCCTTTCTTGGTAATACCTTACAATATACTGATGTTTTGATTGTTTTTTTTTTTCTTGGCACCAGGGATTGAACCTGAGGGTGCTTAACCACTGAGCCACATCCTCAGCCTTTTTTATTTTTTATTTTGAGACAAGGTCTCACTGAGTTGCTTAGGGTCTCACTAAATTGCTGAGGCTAGTTTTGAACTTGCCATCCTCCTGCCTCAGCCTCCCAAGCTGCTGGGATTACAGGCATGTGTCACCATGCACAGCTATTCAAATATTTTTAATTTTAGTGGGTTCTAGTTTATCTATTTTTCTTTTTTGTGCATGCTTTTGATGTTGTATCTAAAACAAATATTGCTAGTTCCAAGTTCATGAAGTTTTGCCTGTTTTCTGGTTTTTAGCTCTTACATTTAGGTCTTTGATCCATTTTGAGTTAATTTTTATAGATAGTGTGAGGTTGTTTAGCACCATTTGTTGAAGAGACTGTCTTTCCCCATTGAATGGTTTTCACTCTTGTTGAAAACTAGTTGCCCATAAATGTGTGGATTATTTTTGAATTCTCAGTTCTATTCCATTGGTATATTTGTACATCCTTAGGCCAGTACCACACTGTATTGGTTACTGTATCTTTGTGGTAAGTTTTTTTTTTTTTTTTTTAAATATTTTTTTTTTAGTGGTAGATGGACACAATATCTTAATTTTATTTATTTTTATGTGGTGCTGAGGATTGAACCCAGTGCCTCATGCTTATGAGACAAGCGCTCTACCACTGAACCACAGCCCCAGCCCAGTGGTAAGTTTTAAAATCAGGAAATGGGAGTCTAGCACATAGTGGAAACTGTAGGTGCATGTTTAATCTTTTCATCAACACATCCATTGAATGACTGGTTTCTTCATCAGTTTAGTCTACTAAGTGCCAGGCATTTGGGGGGTGCTGTGGATGCAAAAACAAACGGAGTGCCAGGTGCAGGAAGAAGCTCTTGCACAGCTATGGGAAGAGAGTGACTGGGGCCCTTCCTGGCAGAGGAGAACTGGAGTGTGGCAGGCCAGGGTGTTTTCTTTTTTTGTGTGTGTGGGGTTACTAGGGATTAAACCCACAGGTGCTTGACCAATGAGCCACACCCACCAGCCCTTTTATATTTTTATTTTAAGATGGTCATGCTAAGTTGCTGAGGATGGCCTTGACCTGGCGATCCTCCTATCTCAGCCTCTTGAGTCGCTGGGATTAAAGCATGTACATTAGCACTGGATAGATACTGAAGAATTTTAAAGCAGGAAAGGGATGTGAAAGGTTTGCATCTTAGATTAGGTGGGCAGCAGGTTGAATTTCTTGGGTCAGGAGCCTACTATGGGGAGGTGGGTAATGTGGGTAGGAGATAGGGAAGCCATGGGTCGAGCAGACACAGTGAACAGAATGAGATAGCTACAGGAGGCAGGGCTGTTTGGAGGTGGAGATGGAGGGGTCTAGGAAGATGTCCTGGGCCCGAGTCCAAGGAGGCGCAGGAAGGAGGTGTGGGTGGAAACCACAGACTTGAGAACCATAGTACTGCAGGTAACAGAGACCAGATGAAGCCGTTCTGTAAGAGGGAGAGAAGCTCTGGTAGGTGTTGTAAACTTCAGACTAGCCATAGTGCTGTCAGCATCCCAACCTCCCCAACCCCCGCATGTTTCTTTATGGAACCCCAATATATATGTGTGTGTAGAAAGGCATGGAAGGGGTCCCAGGTCCTCTGGGAGGTGTCCTGGGGGGCCAGTGCAGGAAGCCTGACACCTGCAGGGCTGAGGTATGCCTTGGTCACTTCAGCTCTGACCAGGGTTAAGCATCCTACTGCCTTCCCATTGTGGGGCAGATGCCCACAGAGCACTGTCCAAGGCCTGGGGTCCACCAGGTGTTTTCTTGGCACCAGCTCAGGTGCAGAGCAGGATTAGACATTCAGCCTGTGAGGGGATTTGTGGATGAAACCAGGTGAGGTCCAGGATTTGTATTTATTTATTTATTTATGTACTTATTTCTTTATTATTTATATGTGACAGCGGAATGCATTACAATTCTTATTACACATATAGAGCACAATTTTTCACAATTTTTGTATACAAAGTATATTCACACCAATTCTTGTCTTCATACATGTACTTTGGATAATAATGTCCATAACATTCCACCCTCATTTTTAACCTTATGCCTCCTGCCTTCCCCTCCCACCCCTCTGCCCTATCTAGAGTTCGTCTATTTCTCCCATGCTCCCTCTTCCTACCCCACTATGAATCAGCCTTCTTATATCAGAGAAAGCATTTGGCATTTGTTTTTTGGGGGGGGGGATTGGCTAACTTCGCTTAGCATTATCTTTTCTAACTCCATCCATTTACCTGCAAATGCCATGATTTTATTCTCTTTTATCGCTGAGTAATATTCCATTGTGTATATATGCCAGACCACTCCAACATTTTGGAGGATTACATAAAAACTGTTGGTAATTGCTAAAACTGGTCACTTGGGGTCTGTTGCACTATTCTCAATTTCTGTGCTTGTTTGAAATTTCTTGAGTTTATTCCCTCCTAAAAGGCATCTTCCTTGGTCCTGCCTTCTTTCTGTGTCCCCAGGCCGACGTGATGGCCGACAGGGTGCCCTGCTGCCCAGTCTGCACTGGCATTGTGAAGCCTGATATTGTGTTCTTTGGGGAGCCACTACCCCAGAGGTTCTTGCTGCATGTGGTTGATTTCCCCATGGCAGATCTGCTGCTCATCCTAGGCACCTCCCTGGAGGTTTGTGAAGGGGCTTTGGGGGCATGGGCTGGAGGATAGGGAGGAGGTCGGTGCAGAGGGGTCAGCCCAGGGTGCTACAGGCGATGGGATCCAGCTAATGTTGTAGGCCTGGGGAGTAGCTGTGTGAGAGGATGGGGAGAATGGGAGGGCATGTGGTGTGGGGATTCCAAGGGGTGTGGCTGGTCAGGGTACAGTGAGGGATGATGCCAGTCCTGAAGATGGCAGAGGGATGGGCACCTGCGGGGTGGGAGGACTGTGGCCTGAGGTGGAGAGGCTCCTGGCTCAGCCTGCATCAGGGTTTTGTTGGTTGGGGCAGTTGGGAGTGAGGATGCTGCATGGGGTGCTGTGTACCTGTGGTGAGGTGCCTGGGAGATGCCTGCTAGACACATCCAAGAAACTGTCCTCCATCTCAGTTTGAATGATAAGAAATTTCTAAAAGATGTGGAGCAAGAAATGAGACTATGAACTAAGCTAGTGCCTGACTGGGTACACCACCAGGGGCTCACCAGTGGCCAGAGGCCCAGTGTATGCTGTGGGCATCACTGTTGCTACCTGCAGAACCAGGCCCTGTCCCAGCCCTGTGGACAGTCACAGCATAAATTGAGGAAATTCTGCAGCTTGTTATGTGCAATGGGAAAAATACCAGGTGAGGCAGGAAGGTTGGAGGAGTGGCCTGGTTGCTTGTGAAGGTGTCAGCTGAGGGATCTGGCAGGGTTGTTGCACAGGATGATTCCTGTGGCTGCTTTGCTGTGAATTGGCACAGGGGACAGACCCAGCAGAGGCTCTTGCAGGTGGTGATTGGCTGGCACTGGCAGATAGACAGGTAAAGCCATCAGGAGCCCTTGGAGTCTGGATGTGAAGGCAGAAGGCAGGCCAGAATGGGAGTTGTGGGAGAGCCTGGACTCCCACAGGGCTTCAGGGTTATGGCTTGTATTTTTTGGTAGGCAGGTTTGAGGATCCTCAGGAGATGTATGCATGGGGGTGGAGTCTAGCAGAGACTGAGGTAGGAGCTGGGGTTTGGAGTGAATGGACAGGAAAGCCTGAGGTGCAAACAGATGTGAGCTGGGATGGAGGATGGACATAGGAAAGCCACTCAGAGGTGCCAAAGACTGGGCTGTGGGAGCCATGGTAGTTGGCATATGGGCTGAGCCAGCTGTAAGGTGTGGACACTGGGGCCACTAGCCATCTTTCTATTTGAAGCAAAATGAAAATAGTTGTGTGTTTTTTTTTTTTTTTCTGGTTATAAAAGCACTATCCATACATTATATAAAGGTATAAAAAGCCAAGTGTCATCTTTAATCCCATCAACAACTGTTAGTGTTTTTTGTTTGTTTGTTTTGTGGTGCCAGGGATTGAACCCAGGGCCTTGTGCTTGCAAGGCAAGCACTCTACCAACTGAGCTGTATTTCCATCCCAACTGTGTGTGTTTTGGTCTGTCCTCGTGTGCTGCTGTTCTGTACAGTGCTGTACATCCCGCTCTTTGACTGGCTATGTCCATGTTGGTGTGAGCACGTGGAGCTGTGTGGTAGGTGCTGCAGCTGCCCTGGGAGGGCAAGGTTCCAGCTGAAGCTAGCCTGCCAGTGCGTGCCAGTGTGAGCTGGATCCTCCAGCGGAAGGCACAGGCTTTTCCTTGTCTGCTATGTGAAGAAATATTGATGTGTTGGCTTATGGAGCACTGCTTTGGATCTTCTTGAGCTATGACACAATATATGGTACATAAACCATAAGATCTTTTTTCAGAATCTTAAATATTCTGAATTCTGAAACATATCCATATATAATTTTATAGTGAAAGTGCCTATAGTGAATATCCAAGTGTATACATTTTTACACTCACAGAAATACTTCTAAAGGGTAAATGTTGATGCATATTCAAGACTCAGTTTCCAGGAAGTACCAATACAGTGCCTTAACAGGGTGCAAGGGGCCATATGCACATATCCTCACCAATACTAAAATTTCCTATCTTTAATTTTTTGCCAGTCTGATCAGTTAAAAGAGGTCTTGCACTTCTGTAATAGTGCAGTTCCTCTATCTCTTGCCCATCTTTCACTGGGTTATAAATTAGCAAAATAAATAAGTTCCTAAATTACATGTTTTTAAGTTAGCAAGTAGAAGTATAAATTGTCATGTTGTATATATTGCAGTTTGTTTACGATGATGAGTTTAATATTTTTCTACATAGTGGCTTTATGGAGATACCACTGTGATAGCATTTATACAGTCTGTCATTTTCATTTGTCTTATCTTACTTCAGTTACCATTCCTAAAAAGTCCTTTCCCATCCTTACCTATAGATCCTCAATTTTCTTCATGAACTGCTTTTGTTTACATTTAAATCTTTAATTCATTTGAAACCTTCCCAACGAAAGGCAGGAATTGAGCATTTCCCTGCTAGATACTAAACCACCCTTGTTACCATTTATGTATGTATCTGTTTTTTATGTTGTTACTCTTGAGATGCAGAAGCTGGATGGTTTACGTCTCTCTAGAGTCAGATGGTGAAGGCTGAGGAGGGGTCGTAACTCAGCTCCAGGCCTCTGCTGCCAGATGAGAAGATTTGCAGGACAGTGTTGCAGCAGGGCCAGTAGAGAGGTGGACAGGTGGAAGGAAGATGCCCACCACACAGTTGGCAGGAAGGAGGAAGGTGGGGATAGCAAGAGGTGAGGGAGGCCTGGGAGGACAGGGTCATCCAGATCAAGCATAGGAGGCTGCTTGAGCTTGGTGCATGGTGATCTCTCCTGTCCCTCTAGGTCTCATGGCCATGGTGTGGTGACTTGATGGGCTTGTGGGATGGATACTGTGCTCCTCATGTTTGGGTTATTTTTCAGGTGGAGCCTTTTGCCAGCTTGTCTGAGGCTGTGGGGAGCTCAGTGCCCCGGCTGCTCATCAACCGGGACTTGGTGGGACCCTTTACTTGGCGACCTCGCAGAAGGGATGTGGCTCAGCTGGGGGATGTGATTCACAGTGTAGAAAGGCTGGTGGAACTTCTGGGCTGGACAGAAGAAATGCAGGACCTTGTCCAGCGGGAGACTGGGAAGGTACAGACCACAATGCTACTGTTGGTCTTATACTGGGCACTAACCTGGGTCCACCACCTCCACTGAGAGGAACAAATGATGCCAAGTACATGCTCCTGAGGCCTCAGAGCTAATGGTGGCTAAGGAGGGATGGTAGTTCTGGTCATTCTAGTCTGTTGCCTTTCCTTCCTAAAACAAAGCAGCCATATTCCCCTCTGAGGCTTGGGATGACTGAGATGACCCATGTATAAGGACTTTGAGAAGCTGAAGTTCTCTGCCCTTTCTGTGGGATGGTGCTCAAACTGGGATTTTTAAAATGCTTTTTTTTTAGTTGTCAATGAACCTTTATTTTATTATTTTTTTTATATACAGTGATGAGAATTGAACCCAGTGCCTCACACATGCTAGGCAGGTGCTCTACCTCTGAGCTACAACCTCAGCCCCACCTGGGATGCTTTTAAGAAGTGGTCCATGTGAGTTGTTATCCGTATAGCCTTCCAAGGGTAGACAGCCAGAGTGTTGATGCTTTCTAGATGGTTCCTAGGAAAACCATGTAACTTCTAGAGGAGTCAATAGCATTTAAAGCCCAGGTTTAAGGTTACAGACAGGTCTGACACTGCCCAAGGGCAAGCACCTTCTTCTTGCCTCCACTGGCAAAAGCCCCAGCCTCTGGTTGCAGTCTGAGACTTGTTAAGGATGAGACTTAGCACTTGCTCTTTCCACACACATTAGACATCATTACCACTGTTATTTATGGCCATTCATTCCAGTTTGGGTCTGAGGGCTGATGTAGGCTGGTGCCATTTCTCATCTCACTACAGATAGGAGTAAGACCACCAATGTTATAATCACGCTGGCCACTCCATTCAAGAAGCAGAGAACTCAGCAAAAAATGTCATTGAGGCAGGTGCTCCCCTGGCCATCTTGCAGGGCAGTGGAGAGCTGGTCATGTCAGCCTGACAGGCTTGTCCTGAAGCCTCTTCCTGGTTTGAGTCCCGTTCCTATATAAAAGGAGACTAATAGCCCTTACTGATTTTTGGAAATGGCCCTACAAGACTTAATCTGTGTGATTTCTTGGTTTCACGGAAAGTTATGAAAAATAGGTCATGATTTCAGGGATTTATTTTTTAATTGCTACCCAAGGAGTCAGATAGTAATGTTTTTGAGCATGTAAGCATCAGTACACCTCAACTGGGAACTTTAAAATCCTCAGAATGGGTCTCCTTTTATCTGCCTTGTTCTGCCAAGCCTGCTGGGACCTAATTTTTTTGCAGAGAAAAGCGCATTTCATGAAATATTTTGCTTGCTTTCAGCAAGGTGTTCAACCCAGGCTTGAGATGTGCTGGCCTGCCTGGGTATATACACTTAATTGATCTCCTCTCTTCTCTTCTAGCTGGATGGACGGGACAGATAGGAGGGTGATGGTTGCCGCATGCATGAGCAATGGCAACAGGAGAGACTCACACCTCATTTCTAGTGAGACCATATGCTTGCAGACACCTTGGTAGGTTCACAAAATTTGGCCAAACCAGGACATGTGACCTGCAGACACAGTGGACATCTGAGGCTGCCCTCAGACTGTATTGCAGGTAGGGTGGTGTTTATACTCAGGAACACCCAGTCACAGATGGAAAGGAACTGCATGGCCTGTTTGCTGTGTCCAGTTCTTCACCGGTAGAAGCTCTTAATACAAAAAGCTTTCTTCTGATGGTGACCTTCTTGAACTGACAGACAACTGGAATCTCAGACCTGATTTGCTTTTACAGTGCCTAGAGCTTAGCAGCCCTCCCGGGGCCCTGGTGATGTACCGGGTCTTGTAGCATGCTGGTATTTGCAGTAGGGTTATTTTTAATTAGAGAAAGTCTGGAGCATGAAATAAATTTTAGTATTTAAACAATGGCATCTTCCTTTTTTGTTTCCCTCAAAGGAACAGCAAGTGTTGACATGACCGTGGAAAATAAACCTTGGGGTGTGGGCGTCTCCCTCTCTGGGCAGGGGACAGCACTGTTCTCACCTATTCCTGGATTCATCCTGAGGGGACCTCAGCCCCCTCTCCCACCCAGCACCTGTCTCCCTTCTGGAGGCTCTGTGTTTCCAGGGCAGTACTTCCTGTCCCTGAGCTGTACCTGCCCTGGGCTGGAGCTGACAGACTTAACTAAACATGTAAGGGGGTCCCGTGACCTTATTCCTTAGTGATGACAAAATATGCATGGTGATCTAGGAAAAGTATTTACTTCTGAAAAGGACAAAGGTGGTTTGTTTGATGGTCCTTTGATATTTTACACATATTCTCTTTCTCTCACACACAGTCTCACCCGAAATACTTCTTTATTCTGTGATGTTTTTGTGGCTCTTAGAAATCTTGAGATTTCAACTTACAGCCTTATGAGGGGCATCTGCCTTCACATAAGTATTTATCATCTAAGTCAGTGGATAGCATTGAGTCAGTTGTCACAACCAGTGAGAGCTCAGATGTGTGGATACTGTAGCGGGTGACTGAGCCAGGGCCAAGAAGAAAGTAGAAGAGGCCATAGCGAGGACAGACAGCAGAGCTTACAGCGCTTACCTGGGTGCTCAGTGTTCCTGACACATTTACATGTTCTAGCAGACTGTTTCCCTTGTGAAAGGCAGCACATGCCCCACACACCAGCTTGTTCAGACAGCTGCCTTGTGTGCTCCCCTGCTGAGCCCCACCTCCCAAGGCATGCTGGCCTGTGTGTCAAGACAGGCCCTGTCCTCGGCCACCACCCCTGCATCCTCAGCACTTATCAAAGACATGGTTTCATCTGTGAAAGTCAAGACTGAGTTCCCAGGTTTACAGCAGGACAAGACCACTGAGATCCTAAAGATAAGAAATCAGACCACAGGCGAAGCACTAGCAGAGCTTGGGTAGAAAAGTGTCTCCATGCTGGAGAGGTGGGTGTGGCTTCCCCAGGCTGGGGCCCTAAGGATGCCTCTGGAAGCAGCACCAGTTCTGCGGAGAAGAGCTGTTGTCCTCAGTCAGGGTCCGAGTCGGGGTCTGAGGAGAGCTGTCCCTCCATGGTCTCGCACATGGCGTCTTGCAGAGATGTGAGGTGACCCCGGGGACTCATCCCCATGGGTTGTATGACTCTGTGCCTGTTGGGGAAAGGTGAGTAGGGCTGGGGAAGAGGCCTGGTGTGCTGGAAGGCCGGGGCCACCCGCGTAGAACCCTGTGTTGACTGGGCTCAGATCTCAGCTGCTGCCCTGGCTTCAAGACCCTGAGCAGTCCCTTCCTTTCCTGGCCTCATTCTCATCACCTGAACACTGGCACAATATCAGTCTAACCTCAACTTTGCTCAAGGATTTCCAACATGAGTCACGCAGCCTTTCAGGACCCTAAGCCCTCCTCTGGTCTCACATTGGGATGTGGGTCCATTCTTCCTCCTCCCAACACACCTGGAGAGCTTGTCAAACATGTTCACCAGCTTCATGGCCTCATGCTCCTTCTGCTCCTCTGTCATGCCCTCCATAGGATTGGGTGGCTTCTCCTCCACCCTCCCTGTCACAGGGTTGATGCTGCATCCCAGAGGGGGAATGGACAATGTGTTAGTAATTCTCCAGGACAAGAGGGGCTACATGGGTAGGTGGACGCCCACCTTCCTGCTCAGGCCTAGAGTGGCAAGATACAGGTTTACCTGGTGGAGGGAGGGGAGCATGCAACCACAGGAGAAAACTCCCTCCAGGAGGAGAAGCTCCTGCCTTGCCCGCTCCCGGTGCCCAAGCCCTCCCTGCATGCTCAGGACAACATCCCTTGGGAACAGGTATCAGATTCCGGAGGGTCTTTCCGTTCCTCATCCTGTCCCACCAACCACAGGAGTCTAGATGGGTGGGGAGCAGGAATGGAGGCGGGGGTGAAGGGAATCCCAAGTGTGTTGGGGTACACACCTGGCCTTGGCTTCCTTGTACTCGTCAGTGTCCGTATCCTCGTCCTCTGAATACTGGCCCTCAGGCCGCCCCCCTGCCATGAGGCCCCTGGCAGCCAAGAGGCCTGCGGCGTTCCCGTAGCCTGTATACTTGATGAATCGGGGCACTGGGGGCCAGGATACAGGTCAGTGGGTGAATATGGCTGGGGCAGGGCAGGCCTGGGGCTCGGGCTTCCCACACTCACCACTCTCAGAACACAGCACAAAGAGGAATTCAGCAGCTACCCTCTTCACATCCGTGTCCAGGTGTGTCATGAGGCGGACAAGCTTGTTCCGCAGTAGCTCCCCAACCTCAGGCCCGGGCCCCAACGTCCGCCAGGGGGGGAGCCCCTGGGGAAGTGGGGGGCCCCCCCCCTAGGGGGGGGACCCCCGAAATCTGGGCCCGGGGCCCCCCCCCGCCCCCCCCCCCCCCCCCCCCAACACACACACACACAAGCTCTGGCTTCTCTGCCAAGTACCTGGGCCTTCAGGAATTTCCTGACTGGACGGTGCATGCGGGCACACTCTGTCAGCACACTCAGCACAGGAGCCACACTCTCCTTTAGCCTGTGGGTCTGCAGAGGGACCCGTCACTGGGCAGTACTCCATCTGACTTGGGGTGAAGGGTGGCAGCTACACATGCCCTGGCTAGTCCTGGAAGCAGAGGCTTGGGAGTCCCCAAGGGCCAGGAGCTGGTGGTAGGTGTCTGTCAGTTTCGAAAGGGATGGGAATAGGCCCAAACTCAGGAAGTTAGTTGAAAGCTTTATGAGTTGGAGCCAACAACTCAATGCTTTAAGTCTAACTTTACCATCTATAAACCAGGGTTGTAAGCAGAACACAAAGTATTCCAATTTGTCTACACACCACTGGCATCCTGCTCTCAGAAAATGACAGCAAAAAGAAACAACAGAACCTTTACTCTCTGTGCCTCCTGGACAGCGAGCAGGGAGCTCCTATCACTGCCGGCCTCCCTTGTTCTCTCCCAGAGCATAACACCAGCAGCTGCAGCAGTAAGGACAGGCAGCCACCCTCCTCACTCAGTCCACATGCATGCAAGCATACTCCACCCCAGCAACATGGCTCCGAGAGATCTGGCAATCTTGGTCTGTGGCTCTTTTGCTGGCTTAATGTCTGTAAGCTCTGGTAGGACTAGAGTTCCAGCTGTCTGGATGTCCTGTGGGCTCACCAGGAAATCCCTGGTGAATCTCCTTAAGAGGGACAGCTATGCTTATGACCAAGGGGGCTGCCCATGCACAGGGATATGAGGAGGCTGAGGGTCACAAGCAGGGGCTTCTCAAGATTACTAAAGAGGGAACCACAAAGTGTGACTGCTAGCATCTTGCTAGAACCTGAGAGACTCTCGACTCCTTGTAGCAGTGGGCAGAAATGAAGCCTTGAATGAATAAGGTTGTCCACATGTAGAAACAATGACCACAGCTGTGCAAACAGCCAAGGTCAGAGCCACTGCAGAGGACTGCCCAGCAGGTACCCTGCCTACCTGGTGCAAACGCTTCTCTAGGAAGGCGAGGAGGACACCAATCACATCCATGTTCACTCCCATGAACTCCAAGGAGCCTTCATGCACCTCTAGGGCGAGGAGGACGTCCAAACACTTGAGAGGCAAGTTCCCCAGGAGATTCACTGTGTGGCTGGGGACAGATGGAGAGAGGCCTTGACAGGGCTAATCCTAAGTGCAGGTACAATCTCTGGAGGGGCCACAGATGTGAGCCATAGTCCGGGAGCCTGAAGAGCAGTTCTAGGGATCACAGCCAAGGGTAGGGACTGATCTCAGGGGTATGCCCAAGTGTATGGTGGTCCCCAGAGTGGCAATCTGCCCCAACATTTGTGTGCTGAAGTACTGATTGATCTCTGGAAACACAGGCCAATCCAGGCACAGTTCACCAAGACTGCCCTAATACCATGCCAACCTTGGCCACTGCCCAACACCCTGGCCCTAAATTCATGGCTCTTATCCTACTCACACAACAGAAGCACCCGAGGCTCCATAAACACAAGGATACCGTCCTGCCCATACAGACTCTAAGGTAGGGTCTGGGCTCCCAGGTGGTTCTGGTCCAGTGCCATGGTGGGGGATCGCAATCCAGACATCAGAGCATGTCCCTCCTACCAGGACTGGCCCTGTCCTCACCCGTGGAACTCCTCCGTGCGGTCTCCAGCAGCAGCAACCATCACACAGTGCCGCAGAAGGGTTCCCAGGTACTGGTAAAGGGCAGTGTCTTCCTGACAAAGACAGAAAGTGGCTTCTGTGAGAGAAAGCCCCACTTGTCCCAACTGCTGCACTCCAGGACTACGGCACTAACCATTGTACCTTCTCAGCTGCACACCTGGTCCACACCATGCCTGACACCCAGGAACTTGAAGGTACTGTGGAAGGCAGGTCCACAAAATGTCCCAGCTGAGTTAGCAACCACCCATGGGTTCAGGCCACCACTCACCTCGTCCACTTCCCTCTTGATGGAGTCAAAGGTGATATTAAATAGCACCTTGAGGATCTCCATAGCCCGCTCAGTCTCTTGGGGAGGAAGGAGATCAGGTGGGCTCTCTTCTGGGGTCATCCCCAGTGTCAGCTCCAGTGTGTGGGTCAGCAGGTGCACGCCATGCAGCTCCTGAAACAGCTGCTGGCGCACATCAGTGCGGAGTGCTGTTAGTAGGAAGAGGAGCCTTAAATCAAAGAACTGGACATCATGTGGGAAGTTCTTCTTGCTGTACATCCCCACACGCTCTGCTAGCCGCACCACCAGATGGGCCTCTGCTGCCAGTGTCTGTGCCACTGGACTGCTGAGCACGAGGTTGCAGAGGCACTTCAGGGACTCTAGTATGACGTCCATATCTGGGGACTCTGGGACAGACCCCTCAGAGGCAGAGATGCCAGCATAGCAAGCTAGTGCATGTAAGCTCTGGCGACTGGTGAATGGGTCCAGGCAGCTGCGGTCCCGGGACAGGATACGGACAGTCTGT